GTCTGTCTGTCTGTCTGTCTGTCTGTCTGTCTGTCTGTCTGTCTGTCTGTCTGTCTGTCTATCCATCATGGCAGTACTTTTTCCCTATTAAATGCGCATTTCAGTGAATCGCATTGCCAATCTTTCAATTTTTACCTCCACGTGAAATTATTCAGATTTCTTGTGTTTTGCTTATTCTTCCACACACCCCCCCGCCATCTCTGATTGTACAGGCTCGTGTGAATCTCAATTCTTGAATGTTTTTGTTGATTTCTCACAGGTTTAACAATTTCCTTTTTCGATTATATTTAAAATTCAAATTATCCTCTCAGTCCACTACAACTTTTGCATCATACTGTGAATTCATCCTTGAGAATGCAGGAAAGTTAGTCTTAAGTAAACGGTGGAACTTCTAAGGTGTTTCTGTGGCGCTTGTGACACGTGGACATCAAGTCATGAGGTTTCAAGCGCTTTGCTACAACATGTGTAGCTAAATTTGGCCGTCATACTCGTCAGCCACAAGTTTCACGTATCATGGTGTAGTGCTATGAAATGTTCCTTTTTCGGTAGTCCTCAAAACGAGTTCGGTTAAGTAATTGTGGTGTTTGAAAAGAAAACAGAAATGTTTATACCAGCAACATAGCTCCTGTGCTGCATTGATTGCAAACGAAGAGGTCAACAATAACAGGGGGAAATGTATTGTGCTGTGAGGGCAAGTTCATTCGCGCATTCACAGTCAGTCAAGTTCTTTAAACTCGGCAATTGGTGAATTGAAACAGACAGACAGACGGACAGGTGATCCCACACACACACTGATGTATGGAAAAACAATGCTGGGGATGGTTGCGTTGTTGATACTATTAGGCATACTGGATACGAGCAGTCAGTTGAAGAGGTTACGTGTAATCCGTGGGTCAACCTAACGTTCAGTCAGAGAGGATGGAGTCATTTCTGTTTCTTCTTCTCCCTCTATCTCTGTGAACAGGAAGGTTTGTTTTGATTTGTTTCTGTGAGCACAGTACAGCGCTTAGGTTTCACCGCGGTCACCGTGTTAGATGTGCGCAAACTTTTGTCGCACTGTGTATAATAAATGATGGACCGCGCGTCGTAAGAACCAATTGTGTGTATAATTTCATGCAGAGTCCTCGTTCCAACGGTACGGGCAAATCCAATTTGTAACATGCCAAGCTATTTGGAAATGTATCTCCTGAGCTCGTTTGTTTCCCGGATTGTTTTCTCACACCGCTGTACAGGTGTTGGACAAATTCGTGAAACGCGACTGTCAAAACACAAATCTATTATATACCGGGGATGGAGGATTTGATTGGATCATATGATGAATTTCGGCGTGTACAGAGCAAATGAAGCGTGAATACGAAAACCAGGAGGCACTGTTCATCTGGTTCGACCCGTCTGAGTCTCATCATTTAAGTAGGGGTCGAACCCGGGACCTTGCGGGCAGAACACAAGCCCACTATCTAATCGATCACAGGGTAGCTGATCAGATCGTTTTTCATTTTCCTTAGGCCCCATATAGCACAACCCATCTTTGCTAGTTTAATGCGATCCCCACTACGATCAATGGATGTACAATGCACTGATGAGATCAAACCAGGTCGAAACATTTGCACAGCGCTTCCTAGCTTTTCAGTTCACACTTCGTTTGCTCTTTACATGACGAAATTCAGCTTGTTTATTATTATTTGGAAAAATACACATTTGCTTCAGTATAAATGCTGCTGCTTATACGAACCCTTAATTTTTTTCACAGGGACCCGTTGCTTCAGTTTCGATTAGACCTGTATTTTGGTTTTCATTATCGATCATGCACATCGATAGTGCTGGCTTAAAGTATGTTTATTTCTAAAATATCTTTCTATCACTGCCTATGATTGTGATTATCTGGTTGCACTTAAAAAGGCAACCTTGATATGTTGACTAGGCATTTCGTATTGTCATCGGGTGGGACAACCGAGCGCTTTTGGCATACATATAGTAGTGGAACATATGGATTACGCTTCTGGTGTGAGGTAAGACCAAGTGCATCCCCGTGCATGAAACTCAAAATGTTAGGGATTGAAAGGAAAGGACCTGCTGAAATTCAAGGTGTCACGTGAGTTCGATCAATGCTTAATACATTCGTGATGTGCTCACCACCTCTAATGCTACTGTCAATAATAATAATAGTGGTAGTTGTTGTTGTGGGCCACATTAACAAGCGCAAAAAGATAAAATACTGGTTATTGACTAAATTACAGATTCTATACGCCTTTCAAGTTGAGTCGATGTAAGTCACTACAACAGGTATAGGAACTTTCACATGTGTCATGTATCGGTGCCAAGTGATACTACGATCTCTCTTCGGGAATGCTGCACTGTAGTAATCGGTCTGTGAGTGCAAGGGATCACCCGAGATCGAAATCCGATTCGCACAACGTTAGTACGGTATTCCTCCTTCATGATCTGCTACAGAACTTAAAACTTTGGGAAATGAAGTGAAACCTGGGTTTCGGGCCAGGTAGTCCGGTGTGTTAACTATTTAACCATGTCAGGTTGGGTATCCTATCCCCGGTCTGCTAACAGTCTGCCAGTATGAAACGACCTGCATATTCGGAACTCCGTGGGGACCAACAGGGTAACATTGAGTAGGTGGACATAATTCACGCCAGTTTGGTGGGACCGTGGTTGTTAGCTGACGGACAGCATCAGTTTATGTGTGTATTACTTGCTCGAATCATGAAGCTATGTCACAATGATACTGATCAATCTCACCCCTACCCCATCAACGGCATGTTTCCAGGACCCCAGATCCTCAACTCATCCCAATTTATAATCCATTCCCATGCGAAATGGATTTGGGGAACACGAGGACACAGTGGCCACACCCAATGCCTGGAGCCTCAGCAAGTGAAGTTAGGGATTTGAACACTCAAGGCTTGGTGTGTGTGTGTGTGTGGTAATTCTTTTGACCAGTCACATCCTCCATGTGTTATAGTCAGGTCATCAAGGTGTCTCAATCACGCGATATCCGTTTCTCTTACGTGCTCATTCAATCAGACACGCATGTCAAGCTGTGCGCGCTTGCGTGTGTGTGTGCCTACCGCACTCACATCCGTCTGTACAGCAATTCATAATAAATCCCATTAGGTTAGGTAGCTAGCATGTTCACCATCCCTTGCTCCATCCATCCATCCATCCATCCATCCAAACAACCAACTAACCAACCAGTCCGCCAACATATTAGACAATCAGTCGGTCAGTCAGTCTGGCAGTCAGTCGAGCAGTTTGTCTATCCATCTGCATCTGTTTGTAGCACACTCACCGCCAGTGTAGGCAGCAGCAGCATCAAACAGAACCACACTCACCTGTCCCTGAGTAACCCCAGTGCGTGGCACGAGACATCCTTCATTTCATCCTATAGATTACACCCTAGTCTATCCGACCTAATGCTCCCCCCCATACGCATACCTCACGACCCAATCCAACCCGGGCCAGTTCGTATTCATCAACTCGCCCACACGAACCACCTCTCCACCTCCCCTCACCACATTCTCCCATCATCTCGCCTCGTGCATTGACTAAGCCAGCCAGAATCCGAGTCACTTGAGTCACGGTATGTACGTGCGTGCGTGTGTGCGTAAATCAAGTGCGTGCGTGCGTGTGTGTATGCACGCCTGAGACATAAGCATGAAACAAATGTCTCTACTCATCCACTTGATCACCCATACATACATGCATATGTGCACAACCACGTGCGCAAGCTGGCAGAAATAACCAAGCACAGAGATATACATGCATACGTATACATGCATATTTCATGTCGAACATCAACCCGAAACGACGTGCTATTCGACTCACGTGTAAATACATAATGCCGACTCAGATTCATGATATGTCCTGATATGTATACATACATGAATCTATATGAATCTGAATCTGTGTACACACCCTGTCTGTCAAAGCCGCACGCACTTGATGTGATCCAAACACTGACACCAAGAATGAGCCAGCCTCGTACCCCGACCCGGTCCATCAGATCACATTTGCCCCCTCGTCGTGGATACTCATGCAAACATTCGAGTCCG